CTTATTTTTTCCCTCATGAAAAAGAATGGCTAGATAAAACTAAATTGTAGACTCTGTGGCTCAACCTTATGATTCATAGTTATGAGTTAATGAATCAAGCATGATTAATGGTGAAGAACCTTTCTTTTAGAGTATATTTATTTAGTTTAGTGAACTCCATATAAAATAAAATACATGCTTTCTTTAAATGCATGTTTGGTGGTAAATGTCAGAGTTGGTAATCTGATGGATACACATATGGCGCAACTCAATGAACTCCAGTTAAGACGTTTTATATTTTAGAAAATGGAAAGACACATATGGGTGTATTTCATGATGCTAACAGAGAAGTATGTGCGGGTGCACACGTGTGTATGTGCGTGTATGTGTCTAAGAGAGAGAGATAGAGAGAGAGAGAGATGATACAAGATATATGGTCTTTTTATCAGTCTGCCAACTCTCGAGCATCCCTGATTCCACAGCAAGCTCACATCAAAATTAGCTTTAGAGCAGGTGCTACGTCACATGAGATTCATTTATGGCTACGTGGTACTTTGAGTTTCAATTGAGATATTTGCCTAAACTTAGATAAATTAACAGTTAAATGGCACAACGTCATAATTGAATTATAGTGGATGAAGTTCTTGGTGTGGCTCTTGATATTATTGTAAGACTAGACCCACCACCAAAGTTGCTTTTTAGGGCTTTGGATAGACGTTTGGAGAAGAAAAGTGCCCTTTTGTATAGGAAGGGGGATGCTATGGTACCATATGGATTGGTGGTAATTGGGACTAGACAGCTCACTTACTGTGGGCTTTCTTAAGGAATTTATTTTATAGATAATTTCATTAAAATGCCGGGAGAAGTGCATAAGTATGTTATGGAACACCGTCAGAGATAGCATTGCATCCACTATGCTAGGCCTTTGGAGTTGCACCTAAATTACCCTAAATAGTTTCCAAGCTAGGTACGTGGACCGTGCTCCTATGAGGACCATCTGTCTAACCCTTGAATTGGTTGTGGCTAGGCAACATATAGGCTCTGGACGAGTATAAACATGTGTGTGTTTGACCATGTGAATGTTGTGAGCAATGTTCAGGAACTCTGAGATGCCCACTTAGGCATTTTGGTGGTCGGGCAGCCTAGGCGACCAGGTGCCTGCTTAGGCTGGTGCCCAGGAACAAGGGCGGGCCTGGCCACAATGAATGGGTTTAGGGCCCCAGGGAGTTCTTAGGGCAGGGGTTTGGGTCCCTTAGCGAGTTCTTAGGGCAGTGTTAAGGCCCCAGAGCCTATTAAAAATAAAAAATCACAGACATCATTGTTCATCACATTCACATATAAAAAATATAAAATAAATCAAATTGGCATTTGGAAAATGGCAACAAAACTCCAGTACATATAACATAAACCTATAAAATAACCAATAACCATTTATAGTCAAAGACTCAAAGCATGATGTCCACTGCCCACATGTGATGTACTTCTCAATAACTCAAAATAACAATTTGGGTGTCAATCATGACCCCCAAATAGAATTTGATGATGTTGCCCATTAAACTTATGTGGAAATTGGAAACCAAGCAAAAAATGAACTGCATAATATGTGCAAACCAAATGAAATATAAAAAATCACATAATATTTTGTTTTCCATTCTCACAAATATCACACTTTATATCATTCTAAAAAAATGATCGTTATATAACATGACATGATATCTCTAAGATTTCGTTTCCAATCTAAATATTCACAAATATCAATTTAGTTTGAACTATTCGCAAAATATAGGCCCAAACCGGTAAATATTCAAAAAATATTCCAACTACAAACATGTAAAAGTATCATAAAAAAAAAAAAAGTAAACGAATATCAAATCAAACACATTATACAAAAAAACACTAAAACTTAATTGAAATATTGTGATGCGCTAACCTTTTCAAATGGAATCAATATAGGCCCAAACCAGTGATCTTTGGTTGGCAAAAGTCCTCATGTGACCACTCCAAGCTCCAAAAAGAATCAGTAAATATATCTTTCGATTTCGCGCGAAATCGGAAGTGTTGAAATTTTTTTCGATCTTGACAACAATCTAAATATCTTAGGGATTTCGGGGCCCCCCAAAGCTCTTTTCCCTCCTTTTTAAGGGAAATGCCAAATATAACCCTAGTCACGGGCATGTTTCTGATGCGCCTTTTTAGGTGCCTGCCTTAAGGCGAGTACCTTGGGCACCTAGGTAGGCACTTAGACACAAGACACCTAGGAATCCCACCTAAGATATGCCTAGGCATTTTGGCCTCCAGGCCGCCTTGGCGAGGGTCCAATTTTTGCATATCGTGTGTGTGTGCGTCTGTACCGGGAGATGTTTATGATATTGGCACCTGTTCATGATAGTCTTGTTATTTTGATTGAATATCTTGATAGGTTATCAATTCAGTAGAACCATTAAGCAACAAGTTTTTGGTTCAGTGTTTTCCCGTCCCTTACTTCTGAATTGGTAAAAAATGCTGCTTAAGATTGTAGAGTTCATTTTTGGAGAATTTCTTGAGCTCTAATATTATGGGAACGCTTAGTTTAGAAAACTAATTCTTGAGGTCTTACTTGTGGACGATGTAATGGGTAAATGATTGAATGTAGTTCTCACATTGTTTCTTAATGGTGTTTTAGTCCTTGAAATGATTTAAGTACAGTGCTTTTTATATGTATGTTGTGAATTGGTGTAGCTGCATATCAATGCACAAATGAAGTGAACAAAATAGTATCCTTTAGTCCTTTGTAATCTTATGCTTTATACGAGATCTACGCGTTACTGATTTAGAAATTAATTTTTCTTTTTTTAATTTCACTTTGTTACTCATAGAGGATACCCAGGAGGGGACTCCAGGAAGTTCACATGCGTTAACACCCACTAGGACCAATGCTTCTCAAGTGTCTTCAACCTTAGAGCAACTTAAAAAAGTGGGTGATAAATTGTTAGTTGACAGTTTTGCGGCTATAGAGCATAAAACTGCTCAAGCCAATGATGCAGTTGCTGGAACTGAAATAGAGGTAAACAAGGAAAATGATGATCCATTGGCAATGTTTCTTCCTCCACCACCTACAAACAAATGCTCTGAGAAGCTCCAAGTAAGTATATATGGAAATTGAAATATTGGTGATTCCCTGGTTTCTTATTTTGGTTGATTTAACTTTTATGAAGAAATAAGTGTTTGTTGCGAACTGATTGCGTCTTATCCTGCCGAAGCTCTGGCTTTTGGTATTTTTTACCCTATTGCTTGATTCTTGAAGATAGTAAAAATTAATGGAACAAAGCAGCATGATTCGCTAGGTTAGAATATTGTGTGAGCTTAGGATGCCCTTTTGGAATGATTTCATATGAAGGAATTTGTTCTTCATTTTTGTTTGAGGGCAGTATTATAATTATGTGCTGCTATCAAGGACTATCCAATTCGTTTAATTCCATTTCCAGATATTTGAGCTTTTTTTTGTTTGATTGATACCCATTGAAGCTCTTTTAACCCTCCAAGTATTTCCAAATCCACCTCCCCCCCTTTCTCTTCCTCCTCGGAGACATACCTCATCCCACCTCAAAAGATGAAATTGATGCCCTTCACCATCCCATTTCAACAGCAATCCCTTTATAAGTGATCCAACCAGAGTTACCGGGATTGGCCCCCTAAGGGGCAGGTCTGCTTTGCAGGGCGATCCCTGTCTCATGGGACACGGTCCGCTTATCAAGTATCTTGCATTGCCAGTTTTACCCTAACATAAGGAAATTGTTGGGTAAAATAGTAGTTTTACTATATGCTCTATTTTTACGGGCCCCTCTATGACTTTTTATGTAACACTAGTAAAAAACGCATATTTAATAGTTTTATCTTTTCTAAGTTACACATGTCAATCCTTTGCATGACCCAGGAATCTTCCAATCCAAATTCACATTAGTTATAGTCATTTTATGGCCTCTAAAAGAGTTTCTAATGCAAGTGTTGTAAAAAGATTATGCATGATAGAATCATAGTATCATCCAAACAATTGGGAAAAGGCTATGATGATGATGATCCAAACAAAATTTTTGGGTTGTAGTGCTTCTTAAGTAAGGCTTAGAGGTAAGTTGCACAGGTCATATCGGAGATGTAAGTTACCTTTACTAGAAAGACATAAGGCAACTTTGAATTTGGGAGAAATTCTTCACTTACAAAAACATTATTTACAAAATCTTAGTAAGTTAAGGTTTATATGTTAGTATGTGGGGATATGTAAGTTCCTGTAACAGAAGGAAGACTTTAAAGGTATATTTTAAATTTATCCAAGAAGTTGTTACAAGCCTAAATAAGGCTTAAAGGTAAGTTATGTGGGTCATATGGAAGTTACCTTACCTTAGAAAAAAGATGATATCTGAAACAAAAAAGGAAGACCCTTAATTTGTAATTCATTTTTTATTTATGATGTGCATTAGATAAAACTTAATATATTTGTCAACAGTTTTTAATATTATTTTAAGTTTACCTTTTTATGTTTATAGTGTATAGGTGCTCCCTTGAGTAAAAGTCAGCAACTTTTAGAGAAAATGTTTGCAAACATATATGCATAAGGTGTAGAGGGACTTAATCATTACCTAATTCAGCTATAGGAATTTTAGGGCATCAGGGCAGCAAACCTCATCAGGGATGGGATAATGGTCAACTTCTGTGAGGCAGTCATCTTTTAGATTCAAGATGCAGTATAACATACTCTGGCCACATGCAGTGAAGTAGTTCACTGAGCAACCTAGTATCCAGTTCCAGCTGGGTTTGGTGGCTATGGAATTGTGATGTGATTTTCCTGATGGTTCTGCAGTTCCCTTGGGGAGTATGCATCTCTTATGGCACTTCTAGTGGGGCAACTGTTCTGTTTTTTGGGGCCTTTTTTTCGGTTCATTTGGCAGTATGCAGCTCTTCATAGGCATTATGGTGAATTGTTCTTTCTAAATCACTTTAAGCCCCTTGAGAAATATCGACTCTTGGGAAGAGTCTCCTAAGGGCGTGTTTGACAATTGGAATTTAAGTGAAGGGTATCCCAACTTCCAACCCACTCTTATAGTTCTAAGTTCAGTTAGATTTTATTTTAAGGTGGGAGAAGTCCGTATCCCTCAAAAATGGGGATCGTGGCCCTCCAACCCTCCCCATAGAGAGCGAAGCTTTAGGAGCGTGGATCACACGCCGCGGGAAATTTATTTTTTTCCGTTGCTTCCCATGCGCATATCATCCTTCTTATTTCGTTTCCCCTCTCTTGCCTCTACAACTTCACCTTATGCCCCTCTCTGTCTCTGTCTCTCACCGAAGATCCTTTTCCTCACTCCATGTTTCTTGCCTTCATCTTCTCCATTGTTGTGCTGAAGCTACGAATACAGTGAGTTGCGTTTATTTTTTTTACAGTTAAACTCCCATAACCCCAAAATCTACAAAAGAGATTTTAGTTTTTATTTGTCTATTTTTTTCTGATTAAGCTAAGAGAAGATTAATCATAAATCTATGTAGAGCATTTATATTTGATTTTCGGTTTTTTTTCCTGGTTATGCTCAAACAAGAAAAGCCCCAAATGCACAACTTATTTATTTTTGGGTTTTGTTTTTTTTGTTTTTCCTGCTTATTGTTACCCCAAATGCACAGATATGGTTTAATCTTGATTTGTTTATTTTTTTTCAATAAATAGGTTGGTTGATCGATAGATGCCATAGTAGTGGTGTTGTTAATAGTAGTTGCAGTAGTAGTTGCAGCTGACATGAGAAGAGTCGCCTTGGGTAAGAACAGCCCTTTGGCAAACTCACCTGCAAAAAAAAAAAAAAAAAACAGAACTTCTGGATAATGGGAATAAAAACATCAATGGGAATAATCAATAAAAATAATCTTAAGATGGAAACTTGATAAGGGCAAGCGATATGCTGTTGCTCTGAGTTGTTGGTCATTGTATTTGGGATCAATGTTGATCAATGTCTGAATCTCCAGGAGCCATTTGGACCGACGCTGAAAATCCAACAAACAAAAGAGGAACCCAAATAAAAATAGTAATTATACAGAAAAATAAATAGAATACTCCACATAATAATATGAACTATCACTGTTTTTTATGGTTATTTTAAAGGGAAAAGTTTATATAGAGCCGAGGCTCTAAACAATCAAATTCGAGCCTACCTCAAAAATTTCACTAGAAGATATTGTTTTGATGCCCAAATATCTTCAAATTCATCATCTCGATATCAAGATGCATGGACATGATAAAAAAATGGATTTCAAGTTTTTGAAATAGTGTATTTTATAACGCACTTTTGGACCGTCAAATTTTAAGATTTTCAAGTTTTCATAGATCTCTCGATCTACATTATTTTTGAAGCTTTAAACTTTTGTAAATAAAGATGAAAATATATTTTAAGGCTATCAAAAAGATTTTCGGTATTGAAACCATATTTCTTGACACTATTTGAAGATAGGCTCTAATTTGATTGTTTAGAGCTTAGGCTCTATACAAACCGCACCCTATTTTTAATGTTGTTTTTTATGTTTATTTTAGATTTGGGGGTAGTGGATTCATAAATTTTGTAATTGATTTTATGATACTCTGTATTTCTTATCTTTGATGCCATGCAACTGTTTTGGTTGATTATTTTGCTAGAGGTGATGGATACTCTAGTTCTTTATCTCTAAAGCCTAAACAAATCCAATTTGATGCGTATAACATTAACTTACAAATCCAATTGACACTAAGAAGAGCTTGGATAGAAGAGGTTTTTTGGATAGAATTAATTAGGAAACATAAATAATAATATAATAAAGCTTGGATAGAAGACGTTTCTTGGATAGAATTAATTAGGAAACATAAATAATAATATAATGAAATCGTTATAAAAGCATTATTAACGTACAAATCCATTCTTCTTGCTTGATCTATTGTGGACAAACTATTCTTCCATGTATGGATTAAATTGGTTAATTATCAAGTCTCCAGGTTTGATAACTTCTAGGTGGTACCAAACACAGGTTCCCAGGCTCCCTCTAAATTTCAGACAAGTTACCAAACACCATACCTTCCAGTACTAGAAGCCAAAACATAGGGAGAAGGAACTTCCAGGTTCCAGATAACAACCAACTTCCAGTTGTCAAACAGACCCTAAAGGTTTTAATATTGAATTATAGATATCTATTCTTGTGCCCTATATTGTTGGATTGAAACATTCATAATTACCTTATGTAAGGTGTTGACACTCAACCTCTGCAAGATACTCCCTCATTTAGCTTCATGTTCTTTGTCCTCCAGCGCCTCTATATGCTACGTTTCTGCAATTAATCCAATTGGAATGAAACAACAAACTTAGCTGAGTTTACTGTAAGAATGGATAAGCTGTGCTTGCCATGCTTGACTAAGTTATGCTTGCTAATGGAGGTTTTGAGGCATCATGTAGCTTTTAAGTCTTAGATTGTTTTTTTGGTCTTTCAAAAAAATGCTGGACTTAGGTGCATAGATTGGATATTATGTAGCTTCAGTTGTGCTTCTTCACTAGGCTGAATGGCTTGTCTTAATAAGGTTTTTCACGCATGCAAGGAAATTTTCTTTTTCATCATATGCATTTCCTTGTTTTCTATATTGGTTGATTCCTACTGTATTTGTTGTTTGATGACTTTTGTAGTGGTTTTGTTTTTTTCCTCCATAGGTTTGTGGCGTATTTTCCAACTTACATTATGAGCTTTTTCAGTTACCTGGGGCCCTCAGTTGTGCTTGATATTTGTTCAAATGACTGAGTGTTGAAGAAAAGTGTTCCTCTGATGGTTTCCCTGGCATTGCAAGTTCTTAAATTGACTGAACTATGGATTTCTGTGGCAGGATAAAATCAATAATTTTCTTCGGCTAAAAAGTGGTGGAAGGAGTTTCAATGAAGAATTGCGTAAGTCAAAGGGTTATAGAAATCCTGACTTCTTGCAACATGCTGTGAAATACGAAGAAATAGATCAGATTGGGTCCTGCTTCAGTAAAGATGTTTTTGACCCTCATGGATATGACAATAGTGATTTTTATGATGCCATTGGTAAGAAACAGTTAACTTTTACATTTTCTGCTGGAAAAATTTATTATTATGTTTCCTATGACCATTGATTTAAGGGAAAGTATAGAATGAGACCATTTAATAGAGCAGAATTGGGAAAAGGCTAAAATGATGATGATAGAATGAGACCATTTACCTTTAGTACAAGGTGGTCACATTAATCTTGACCATTGGATGTAAAATTGGGTGGCTGCAATTATTCCATTGACCAAGTTCAAAGTTCAAAAAAATTTTTTTCGAACTTTGTGACACATCCAAACTCTCAAATTTCATATGGGATGGTTGTAAGTAATTGTGACCACCTTATATTAAAGGTAAATGGCCTCATTGTATACAATCCCTTGATTTAAAATGAGTTTCGAGTTGTAGAGCTTACCTGAAAAGTCTCCTTGCCTGGTGAACAAATTTTGCAAATGAAAAACTCGGGCTATATCCAAGTTTTTGGTGATTTATAATATTTTATATTAAGTTTGATGAATGCATTTTGGTTTTAATGCGGCATCACTTACATTGAACTTGGAATAATTTTCACATGAACCTTAAGTGATGAGCAGCGAATGCTTCCCACAATAAATGTTCAATTTTATTTTTATTTTTCAAGAATTCTTCACACGAGAATTTAAAAAACTGAGTTTTTCTGAAGTCACTGAGATCCAACTCCATGAGTATACTTGTTTTTGGCCATGAGAGTCAGCCTCTGAGTTTCAGTTTTTGAATGATATGTTTGATTGTAACTGAAAATTTCTTTTACAAATAGAAACGTTAACCGACTTTTTGTCTCTTTATTGCTCACTTATCCTTGGCAAGATGGGAACTGTATTTGTCTAGGTATGCCATGATGGTCTTGTGAAGAGATATCATATAAGTTATGGGTTATGGCCTTTTTTTTTTTAATGTTTGAAGAGGCTGACATGAAGCGTGAGATGGAAAAGAAGGAACAGGAAAGGAAAAAAAGTCAAAGAGTTGAATTTGCTCAAGGAGGTACACAAGCTGGATCAATGCTACCTCAACCAAAGATCGGTGTGCAAATCCCTGGTAATGAGAAGGAGTGATCTATTATTAGTCAAAGAAAGTTGTCATGTTTTAAGTCATCATCATCATCCCAAGCCTTATTCCAATTAATTGGCATCAACTACATGAATCATGTTCCTCCATTCTTCTCTAATAGGTTTAGGATTCATGATAAGATATGGCAAAGTTGTGTGCTGGTTGCCTACCTTACACAACCCACCTCCTATATCCAGGCTTGGGACGGGTTAAGGGACAATTTAAGATCCTCGCCCTTCTCAGACCAATGTCCTGTTTTAAGATCAATTAGTAAATTCTTTAATATGTTCATTATTGTGTTAAATTTATTGTTTTGACCTGATTACTGAAGATTTTGGTTTATGAATCTAATGATAGGTTATATGTACTTGCCAAAATCATGTTTGTTCTGATTTTTTGTTGATTTAGGTGTTCCATCTATTCCAGCAAGTATGTCCTCACTTCTTGCTGCTGCACCAGCTCCTGATGCTTTGGCTAGAGAGGGCAGGCAGAACAAGAAAACAAAGTGGGACAAGGTTTTGTACATGGAAGAGTGGCTCCAAATATGCTTTTAGGGGTTGTATCCTAGAGAAGAGACATTTTATCTCTATGAGAAACTAACCGCTGCTCATCTTTCCTGCATAACTGATGTAGGTGGATGGTGATAGGAGGATTCCCTTAGCCACTGGAGGGCAGGATGCTGTGTCTACAGTCAGTGCACATGCAGCGCTATTATCTGCTGCAAATGCTGGGGCAGGATATACTGCTTTTGCGTGCGTATTTCTATCATTGTTTACGTGGCATCCTCATAAAGTCATTGTTCCCTTAAATTAAGAAATTGTTGCATAAAAGTAACACCTAATCAAGCTGAATATTTTGCATTTACAGTATTACAACTTTTTATAGTGAATAGTCATCATAGTTTACATAGCATCCTCTTTAATTCATTGTTCTTTTAATCTTAGGAACAATCGTGTAAAAATAAGACCGATTCTGAATGTGCTTACAGTCTCATAATCTCTTATGGGCTTATGATCTTGCTCATTTTACAGTCTTATAATCTCTTATGGGCTTATGACCTCGTGCCATGGGAGGAAGTCTAGGACCTTGAAAAACCAAATAATTCCACAACATGACCAGGAAGAAGGGTGGATTATGATGGTTCAGATGAAGGGCAAACATAGAAAGCATGGACAAAATAGGTTTGCAAGGGCATATAGTTCTCAGCATACTTAACAGACTTCCCAACTGCCATATCAGAAACAGATCTGACAAGAAAGTGCTCATTCCAAGCAAACGAACAATCGCACATTTGAATGGAAGCCACATGTCAAACACTTGGCTTACCAGAATACCCATTTTTCCACATCCACCACATCATTGCAAACCTCATAAAATACACCAACTTTCACGGTTTCTATCCAAACCATTAAAGAAACACTGCCCTTAGTAACTGACCCTCTGCCTCTTGCCACTTGGCACCATTCCTCAATAAATGACACCAGACAACCCCTTCAGAAATGCACCACCTATACCCAGAGACTTAATTAAGCAGCTGCTACCAGTCGCCCAAGTTTCAAATATGCCGCCCAATCCACCATCCAGCTTCTCTTGGCATTTAAGGATGCAGCAACCTTGACAACAACCCCAATCACTACATCAGAACATAGTTCCTTGTGCCTACTTCACCACAACCAAACCCCCCAACCAACATCAGCCCGTTGCTTGAACCTCAAACTTCCCATACAACGTCTTCTCTATCAACTCCAAGTAACTGGTCACCTCTTAGAAAAGATGAGACCAATTGGTGGATGAGAATCCTTGAGACATCAAATACAGGAGGCCTCAGTCGCACCAAGTAGAAATCTTGTTAATGGAGGTCTCTAGATCTAGGCATGCCCGTGGCCTGGCTTACTCCTAAAATTCAAATTTCCCTTAAGCTTCCACCTAAAGAACTTCCTCCTCCCCGTTCCTGACAAGTATGTCATCAAGTACTATCACAAATGAAGTTCCGGACAATGCTGATTGCCAAATGGACAGGCAAGACCTTAAGTCCTGAAATTCCCAAGCTAAAGCATCAAATATTAAAATGGCCTCATTTCAATCACCCCTTTCGCTGCATCCCTCTCCTACAAGCTGCCTCAAAACCGTACTTCTACAAACACTAGGGCCTCCCTGTTTGCTTCTCAGCTGGCCAACAAAGACTCCAAAATGATGCGTAGGCAGCAGGCTTCCCCTTCCCCACCACATCATCCCCTTTCAACCCAAGCCTCCACCCACTTCAGCTTCCAGGGTCACCCACTCTCCCAAGCTTTGACTCTTTAACTATTCCACCTATGCGAACCACAGGACTTGCTCTTTTACCTCCCTCAACTTGCTTCCCCTGCAACACACCTTTCCTTTCCCCATTTATCATGATCTCTCTGACTCCCAAATGTTGCAAAGGCTGTGTGCTACCCCTTTACCACCATGTCATCTCCTTTCAACCCAAGCCTCCATCCATCTCAGCTTCCAGGGCCAGCCCACTCTCCCAAGGCCAGCCTCTTTTACGATTCCAGCTATCCCAACCACATGACCTGCTCTTTTACCTCCCTCGTCTTGCTTCCCATTCAACATACCTTTCCCCTCCCCATTTATCATGATCTCTCCTTCTCCAAGTCCTCCACGTTTCCCCTACCCCTTGATCATGAGACCCTCCTTTATCTCGATTCCCCCTATCTTTATCCCTATCCCTATATGAGTTCCAAGAATCATCTTTTCGGAAACCTTTGTTCCTGATTTCCCTGAGCAATCTTGCTATGCCACCCCTTTCTTCACTAAGTTAGCAAGGGGTTTGAGTGTGTACCTGCTGTATTAATATGAGAAACACGTATAAGTTTATATGCAAGAAAGAAAAGTAGGCAGCATAGGAAGTTTTTGTGTACAAGTATCTCCACTACAATGCTCACTTAAAGCTCTCGGTGTCAAGGGAAAGTTTCCATCTCTCATAGATAAGGCTATTGCTCTTATTCTTTGGGATTGGTATGTGAGTGTATGGAATTCTATTTTGATTTTTCAAAGTTATTTTCTCCCTTCACCACTTGAATGGATTGATTTCGAATTTCTTTCGCCTTTTTGTTCTTTTCATGGCAATTTACCCTATGATGATAAGGAGAGCTGCCCTTTTTATTAACAAACTTATTAGAAAATTGTTTGTTGTACCAATTAGCTTTCGAGGTCTTGGTTACATGTAGCGGCTATTGATTATTGAATCTCCATAATACTATTTTGTGAATGTGATGGGCAAAATTACAAGTGGTGAATAGGCGGTCATGGCTCTGAATTTTACTTTTACACATGTCACATATTTTATCCACTTGAAGACCCCATCTTTGGATTTTATCATTTGTGAGAACCCTATTTGGTGCACCAACCAAGAGAACCATGATGCCGTAGGAGAAATAAGGTTTTTTCCCATGACCTTTAGGATATTGTTTTTACTTCCATGCTCTCGAATTACTTCATGGACACTCTTGAGGGAGAAGTATCCAACTTGAGAGGGAATCCAACTGATCTCTTCAACTCCATCATTGCTACACTACTCTATGAGAACGCTCACCTTGATGGACATGGTGCCAGGCATGCCTTTCCCATCCCAAGAATTTCTACTTGTGGTGCTAGAGTCCCACAAATGGTGCTTCCGACAAAGAATCTTCCCATTTGCGACCTCCTTTCCCAGCTTGGTTAGTAGAGCCAAGTCAATTACCTAATTGTTATGATATGAAAGCCGCCTTCACTCTTTGGTTTACAAGTTGAGGTTCATTTGACCAGGCTTGGTGTTTTCGGTTAGTTTGGTTACCCCACAAAAAGGCCCTTTGGAGCTTCTCAAGATTGTTGGTTGTGGTGGAGGGAACTTCTTATACAGAACACTAGTGGTGAAGGAATGGGGTGAGCTAGGTATTTTTTAGGTTTAGTCTTCCTGAGTATGAATGTGTTTTACTTTTCTAACTTTTAAGCCTAGACCTGAATTTTTCAAGTAAAGGTTGGCTAAGATGGTTCGTGAGATTTTCTTTGAACAGTGGCAAACCGAGGTAAGTTGAGGGTAGTTCGGAGGGGTGCAGTTCAAAATAGCACTTAAAAAAAAGAGTCAATTTTGTAAAGTTAGTGGAATGGAGGAAAAATATGCTGGTTTTGGAGTCGTTTTTTGGAGTCCTGATAGGTTTTGAAGTGTCCTGACAGGTTTTGAAGTGTTCTAGGGACGCTTCAAGGGATTGGTGAATTTGTGGGTGGACTTTTCCAAAGACCAGAAGGTCATCTACATAGAGTAAGTGTGAAGGGGTGGGGTGATTCTTGGAATCTTGGGTGGTATGCATTTCCATTTTCTAGCCTCTTTATCACTGATCTGCTGAAGCATTCCATTGCTAGCATGAAGTGATAATGATAGAGTGGTTCTCCCTTAGTCCATTTTGTTGGTTGAAGTAATCAAAGTGGGTCCCATATAGAATTACAGAGTACTTGAGGATAGTGATGCACGTAATGATCCAGCTGATGTAGACCACTCCAAAACCGTATCCTTTTATTTTGTTCAAGATGAAGTCCCACTTAACCTCATCAAAAACCTTGTAGAGGTCATTCATAAGGCAAAAAGAGCTTTTTCAGTTGTTATTGGTCATACTATTAATAAGTTCATCAGCTATTAAGGCTTGCTTAAAATGCCCCACCCCTGAAGGAAGTCCTTGGTTTGGGTTAATGTAAATTCATGGGCTATTAAGGCTTGCTTAAAAATGCTCTGACCTTGAAGGAGCCCCTTGGTGTGGGTTAACGATACGATTTAGGACTAATTTGAGCTTATTCACGACAATTTTGCTGATCACCTTATAGATGACATAGCAAAGGCTGATAGGCCTAAAATCAGTCATGAAAAGGAAACCTCTTTTTCGATATCAGAGTGATGAATGTTGAGTTTATGTTTTGTGTTATGTTTTGCCTTTTGAAGTCTCTTTTAATGGCTTGGATGATTTCAGGGCCAATTATGTGCCCCATACTTGGGTATGGGAATGGGAACGGGGAACGGTTTTGGGATCGGGGGTGGGATTGGCGGATCGTAGCTATACTGAAGATCCTTGTGTTAGGGATTGATGCCCATGCAACCTCAAAGGTCGGGATCGAGATCCCTGTGTGTTGGGGATCGAGCTCCTTTATCACATAGGATCGATAATTATTATATAAAGGTGCAAGATCCTATACGTAAGAAGCAAAGTTCCCAAGGGCTTTTTTTTGAGTTTCTTAACTCAGGGAGCGCATTACGAAAAGTGATCCAAATTATTATGTAGTGAGGAATAACTTTTATAGGAGCGAGTCCCATTGTCTTAGAACATGAGTTCCTCGTGTAGGTAATAACGATCCGTGGCTTTAAAATGTATCTCCCGGCGTTGTTAACCAATAACATGTAGGCTTAGTCCTTCTATGAAATAAATAAGGAACTTTAAAGCGATCCCATATTGGTGGGATCTTGATGCCATTTATGGCGATGCTTGTGTTCTGTTATTTTGGAATCTAGATCCTAATGCACTATGGAGCACGAATCATAAACTAGGGAACTAGATCCCGTAATGTTAAGGAACATAAAATTAAATTGTAAGGCACTCGTTCCCTTATAAGATGGAGAGAGATCCCAAAAGCACTAAATTGAGTTTTAGACAAGATCCACTCCGGGATCGAGAGAATTGAGGTTCTGCAAGGGATCGCCAAGCAAGGGAGGAGATCTGGTAACTATGATGAGCCCAAAGCCCAG